AATGTAAAAAAAAAAAAAGAATTGGATGCTCAACCAACTGAGACACCCAGTTACCCCACAAGAAGGGGGTTTGATTTATGAGAGATTCAGGAAGTAAAATGGACATGACTTGATGACTGAGAATCTTTGGTGGATGAGAGAGAGAGAGAGAGAGAGAGAAATCAGGATGACTCCCCTGGTACCTGACTAGGGTACTAGGGACATGGGTACTTGAGTGAGTGTGGATTGTAGGATTCCTTTGCTATTTCTTGTCTTTAAGCCTGGTCATCTTTCTGGATCTATCTCGGATGCTTTTCCACCACACTTTGTGGGCCCACTCTTCTTGAATACCAAAATTATGGAATTCTAGAAATTGAAAGTGCTATGGATGTTCAGAGCAAGGAAAAGTTAATTCCTAGAGGAAATGGAGAAATGGGGGGATTTAGCATGCATTCAAAAAAAGAAAGCAACTAATGAGCTTTGCTAGAAGCTCGAGTTGCTTGGCAAGTATCCTCATCCATTCAACTGGTATTTATTATTGTGCTACATGATAGCGATGCAAACAGGAACAAGGTAGTCTAGTTCCAAGCATCCCAGTGGGGGAGATGCATGGTGGAAACAATTACAGATACAAATTACATGTTAGGTAGTAATCAGAGTGACAAAAAAAAAATAGGACAGGGGAAGGAGAGTAATGGGGGGCATTATCTCAATCACTCCAATCTTTTTTAGATGTTATTTTTTGAGAGAAAGAGAGAGAGAGAGAGCATGAGTGGGGGAGGTGCAGACAGAGAGGGAGACATAGAATCTGAAGCAGGCTCCAGGCTCTGAGCTATCAGAATGGAGCCCAATGAGAGACTTGAACCCACCAGCCATGAGATCATGACCTGAGCTGAAGTTGGACACTTAACCAACTGAGCCACCTAGGCGCCTCACTCTAATTTTTTTTTAAGTTTATGCGTTTATTTTGAGAGGGCAGGGGCAGAGAGAGAAGGAGAGGGAGAATCCCAAGCAGGCTCCCCACTGTCAGCCCAGAGCTTGATGTGGGGCTCAATCCCACAACCGTCAGATCATGACCTAAGCCAAAATCAAGAGTCCAATGCTTAACTTATTGAGCCACCCAGTTGCCCCAATCAGTCCAATTTTTTAATGAAAACTTTGAAATCAATAGAAGAGTGCAATGAGCTTTGTATACCTTACTCCACCCAAATCCTGCACTTTTCTGATGTTTTGCCATATTCTTTCTCTTTTTTTCCACCCTCCTCTTTTTCTCCCCTCTCCCCATGCTTTTCTGGGACGTTACCATTTAAAATTAAGTTATGGACATCACAATAGTTCATCTCTAAACACTGTAGGATGCATCTCTTAAGAGGAAGGGCATTCTACTACACCACCATTATCATACCAAGAAGTCTTCCAGTAATGCCATAATATAATTTATTCCATTCGCAGACTGTCCCATTGTTTCAAGAATGCCTTTTATAGCTCCCCTCCCCAAACCAGGATTCAAGCTTGGTTCACACACAGCATTTAGTTCACGTCTCTTTTACTCTAGACTAGTTCCCCCACTATTTTTTTTTTACAACACTGACTTCTAAAATGTACTTCATTATAAAAATACAGAAAGAATAGTATAAATAAGTGAAATCCCGTGTATCCTTCCCTCAGCTTCAAAAAGTTACCAACATATGGCGAATCTTTTTTTAGTCCCACGGCCGTATCTCCCTTCTGCACTTCGCTACGTTATTTTAAGGCCAGCCTCTGCCATTAAATCGTTTTTACCCACAAATATTTCAGTATATCTCTGAGAAATAAGTACTTTGTTATTTAACATAGCCATCATGCCCAAACAATTAAGAATAGCTGCTTAATATCATTTAATATCTAGTCAGGGTTCTCCTTCCCCACGTGTCTCATAAATAAGTGCCTTTTTACAGTTAGTTTGTCGCAAATCAGGATTCAAATTCCACCCGTGCATTTAGCTGATAGATCTCTGAAGCATCTTTTAATCTATAATAGTCTCTCTCCTATTTTTTCCTTGCCACTTATTTGTTGGTGAAATCTGGTCATTTGTCTTGTAGAATTCCCACCTCCAGGATTTTTCCCGTTGCCCTCTCATGTTGTGTAATATGCTCATTCATCCCTGTGTTTACCTATAAAACTGTTGATCCAATCCAGGTTTATGGGTTTCTGGTCTGTGTGTGTGTGTGTGTGTGTGTGTGTGTGTGTGTTTGGCAAAAAAAATACTTCAAAGATAGGTGGTGCTGTTTATATCCTACCGCATTGCATCCAGAGACACAATGCCTGGTTGTCTGTCTTTGGGGGGTGTTAAGAATGATCACTGGATGCAGTGTTACTGGCTTGACCCATATCACTGGCCTTTAGAAGACTGCTGACCAAGGTGTCAGTTAGTATAGAAAGTCCCCATCTTAGATCTGTTTGATTGTTTTTCCATGGCGTCGTTTGATTTGTTCCTTGTTGCTTGCTTTCTCTGTAACCTGGGAGTCATGTCTACACTAGAGGCTTTATTAGATCCAGGTTAAAAATGTTTGGCAAGCAGATACAGAGGAGTGCTGCGTTCGTATATCCCATCACTTTGGGTGGTGAATAATGTCAGGTCGTTCCCCGTGACGGGAACAAAGTTTGAAACTTTGGTAAAGGTAATGGTCATCAGGGCTGTTCATTGAAAAGGGAGTTTCCTCTTTCTAATGAATAAGTGATTTCTAGGGTGATACTTTGGTACCTTGGGGAGAAAAAAATCCTGTTTTGGAATACCTAGTTTGTTGAATTTCTTTTTGTTGTTCTGGAAAAAAACTTCAACCTACCGAAAAATTAGCCAAAAATAATGCAGTGAATTCACATATACCCTTCCGGTGGA